ACTGAACAAACAGACATTTAAAAACAAATACCCCATACCGCGCATCGACGACTTACTGGACCAACTGCGTGGTGCAACAGTCTTCTCGAAGCTGGACCTACGGTCGGGTTACTGGCAGATCAAGATTGCGGACAGCTCCATCCACAAGACGGCATTCCGTACCAGATACGGCTCCTATGAATACTTGGTGATGCCATTCGGACTCTGCAACGCACCAGCAACGTTTCAGGCGGAGATGAATCACATCTTACGACCCCTGCTGGACGAGTGTGTGGTGGTGTACCTGGACGACATTCTCATCTACTCCAAGAACATGAAGGAGCACGTGGAGCATCTACGGAAGGTGTTCGAGATCCTGTGGAAAAACAAGTTCTACGTGAAGCTGTCGAAGAGTGACTTCGCCCTGAAGAAGGTGCAGTTTCTCGGGCACACGGTGAGTGCAGAGGGCGTACACGTGGACCCGCGGAAGATCAAAGCCATCAAGAAGTGGAAAGTACTGGAGAACGTGAAGGAGTTGCAGCTGTTCCTAGGCTTCGCCAACTACTACAACAGGTTCGTGCCACAGTACGCTAAGATAGCAGCGCCATTGACCGACCTACTGAAAAATGATACGCCCTACAAATGGGATACCCCTCATCAGCAAGCCATGGAGCAGCTACAGACAGCACTAACTACAGCGCCAGTACTCATCTTGCCGGATCCAGACAATGACCACGTGGTGGAAGCAGACGCTAGTGACCAAGCAGTCAGAGCAGTACTAAAGCAGGATCACGGACGCGGTTTGCAGCCCATTGCCTACCTCAATAAGAAGCTACAAGGAGCAGAATTGAACTACCCCATCTAGAACAAGGAAGCCTTAGCGATAGTCATAGCCTTCAAGACATGGAGGTGTTATATAGAGGGAGCCAAGACTGCAGTCTATACTGACCACTGCAGTCTCAAATACCTGAAGTCGCAGCCGACGCTCTCACGACAACAGGTGCGGTGGGTGGACTTCCTGGAAACTCACTTCCACTACGACATCGTCTACAAGCTCGGGCTACACAACAAGGCAGACGCGTTGAGCCGCCCCGGACATGTAGCAGGCATCCAGCTCGACGGGATGAACCCTCTGCTCAAGGGTCTATTCCAACATGGGTACTCCGTGGACGCAGAAATCGCTACAGCACAGACCAAGAAGTTGTTACAGTGGGAGAAAGACTTAGCTGTAAGGAAGGGTTCAGGAAAGATTTGGGTACCGAATTACGCCCCGCTACGGCAGATCCTATTGGAGGAATTTCACGACGTACCTTACGCGGGACATTTCGGGAGCAACAAGACGTTAGCAGGGATAGCAAAGTATTACTACTGGCCCGGGATGGCAGCAGACGTGCAGCAGTTCGTCACCTCTTGCGACACGTGCCAGCGGATGAAGAGTAGCAAGCAGAAAAAAGCATGGTTACTTCAGCCTCTACCTGTACCGGAGCAGCCATGGCATGTCGTTAGCCTCGACTTTATCACAGGACTTCCTTCGACCTCACGGGGGCACGATTCCATCCTCGTAGTCATCGATAAGTTCTCCAAAATGGGTCACTTCATACCGACCAACGCCACAGCTACAGTTGAAGCAGCTGCTCGCCTCTTCTTCGACCGCATCATCACCATCCACGGCATCCCCGCTACACTCATCTCAGACAGAGACCCAAAATTCACTAGTAAGTTCTGGAAGGAGCTCATGGGACTGTTGGGGACAAAGCTTGCAATGTCTTTAGCATACCACCCCCAGACTGACGGACAAACAGAGCGACTCAATCAAGTGGTTGAACATTTACTGCGCACAGCTTGCAAGGACGACGTCAGCCACTGGGACACACAGTTACCGACCCTAGAGTTCGCTTACAACAACGCATCACATGCGGCCACAGGGAAAACTCCTTTCTTCCTGTGTTACGGACGAGAACCATTCACACCACAGCAGCCTACGACACCGGCACACGTCCAAGCCGGACATGACTTCGTCACCACCATGCAGCAGCTATGGGAGAAGACTCAACGACGTCTCACCACGATGTAGAACTCCCAGAAGCAATATGCCGATCGTCAGCGACGAGTTCACTCTGTAGCAGTCGGAGATCAGGTGCTTCTTGACACACGCAACTTGAACCTGTCTCACCTCCCATCCAAACTCCGTCCTCGCTTCTGTGGTCCATTTCTCGTGGAGGCACAGGTCACACCAGTTACATTTCGCTTGCGCTTACCAGATACGTGGAAGCTTCACAACGCTTTCCATGTGCAGCTACTAGAACCCTACAAGGACCCCAACCTCTAGTTCCAGGGACGGCAACTACCGCCACCTCCACCTGTTCTTGTGCAGGATGAACCCGAGTACGACATTGAGCGCGTTCTATCTCATCGGCACCATGGCGGCAAGAACCTTGAGTTCCTGATACGCTGGAAGGGATACGACCCCACTGAGGACAGTTGGGTTGCAGAAGCTGATATGGGCAACACACGCTGTGCTCTCAAGGACTATCTTGTCAAGTAGGGTGTATCTCACGCCACCCAGCTTTGAGGGGGGGACGTGTGAGAGTACGACGGCTTATGCCAGCTATGCTTGCTTGCCTTTACTTTATCATGCTATTTCTAGCATAGGATAATTATATGCATGCATGAATTGCTTGATTTCCTAGGCTAGGTGCTTTCCTATATTTTATTATAGTTATAGCACCGAGCTAGGTTACGTGCATCGAATTCTGGCTTTCAGTTGCCACCGAATTGCCTTCTACCGAATTCCGTAAGGATCTGTTTGGGACGCTTCGCGACCCAAGGAACCTTTGCGTACCACCTAGTTACGAGGCCTTGTGTCGAGCCTATATATAGCCTCGTGTTGTACCCAGGTGATCATTCAATTAAATTCAATTACATTTCTCTTTTCTGAGCTCGTTCCTAGATCCTCACACCTTCGGACGAGTCCGTAGAGCCGAGTGGTCCGTACCCAGAGCTTGTGGGTTTCCTCATGTACCTGATGACGTGCATACGACCTGACCTCGCGTACCCTCTCAGCCTTCTGGCTCCCTACGTGGCACCCGGTAGACACTGAAAGGTGCACTTTGATGCTGCGAAGAGGTTACTTCGTTACTTGTGTAGTACATCAGGCATGGGGCTCATGCTTGGAGGACAGGGTTCAGTGGTACTCGTAGGACAATCTGACGCTTCTTGGGCCGACGACCAGGCGACTCAGCGTTCGTCACAGGGTTACACCTTCAGTCTTGGCTCTGGTTCTGTCTTGTGGAGGTCCACTCGTTCTTCTTCTGTGCTTGGCTCCAGGTGCGAGGCCAAGATCTACGCTAGGGCCATGGCTGCACAGGAGCTATGCAGGCTGACCTACCTGCTGACCGACTTGGGGGAGCGGCCTCGTTCTCCTCCGGTTCTGTACGTCGACAACAAGGCAATGCTTGCCTTGTGTCGCGAACAGAGACTAGAGCACAGAACAAAGCACATTGCTCTTCGCTACTTTTTGTCAGGCTTATATGCTATAGTCTGTGTAGGCTGTAGTGGGGTAGTTCATATGGGGTATAACACTTTAGGGTTTCCTACTTGTACTCCTCATCTTGCTCAATGCAATCATTCCTCAATTCTCACATGGTATAGAGCAGGTTCCCTCGTGGGAACTTCCTAGGGCCCACCACTGAACATCGATTCTTTTTTCTGCCCTGAGATCGAGTCGCTCCTGACCGAGGCGCGCCCTGTGTGCTGCCTTCCCCTTAGCGAACCATTGCGCTGCCCTCAGCGGCCCTCCCCCTCTCTGACGGCCCCTCGCGACCCCGTCGCCGCCCTCCTAGTGGCCCGCCGCGCCGCCCTCAGCGGCCCCTCCTCCACGGCCCCGTTGCCGCCCTATCGCGGCCCCGTCACCGCCCTATCGCGGCCCCGTCGCCGCCCTCTTGCGGCCCCGTCGCCGCCCTATCGCGGCCCCGTCGCCGCCCTCTTGCGGCCCTGTCGCCGCCCTATCGCGGCCCCGTCGCCGCCCTCTCGAGGCCCCGTTGCCGCCCTATCGTGGCCCCGTCGCCTCCCTCTCGCGGCCTCGTCACCGCCGTTCGCAGCCCCGTCGCCGCCCGTAGCGGCCCTGCAGCCGTCCCTCGCGGCCTCGTCGCTGCCCTCTCGCGGCCCCAGACGCCGCCCTCTTGCGGCCTCGTCGCCGCCCCTCCGCGGCCCCGATGCCGCCTCCTACGCGGCCTCGACGCCGCCTCTACCGAGCCGCCCAGCAGCAGAGCCGCCGAGCCGCCCAGCATCCGAGCCGCCGAGCTGCCCAGCAGCCGAGCCGCCTAGCCGCCGAGCCGCCCAATAGCCGAGCTGCCGAGCCACCCAGCAGCCGACCCACCGAGCCGCACGACAGCCGAGCTGCCCAGCAGCCGAGCCGCCGAGCCGCCCAGCACCCGACGACCGAGCCGCCCAGCAGCCGAGCCGCTGAGCCGCTACCTGTCCTACCGACACGCCCCGGCCCTACTTACTCGTACTGGTGAGCTCACTCCTTGCTAGACCTCTGCAGTCATGGCTACCCCTAGTGTTCTTACCTTTGACACTGAGGGCCGTGCTGTTGACTTTGAGGTCTGGGTCGATGACCTCCAGCTGTTCCTCTAGTGCGATCGGGCAGACGGCCTCTCTCTGTTCGACCTCACCTGTGGTGCCTCGCCTGCCCCGCCTGCTACTGCTGACAACACTGTTTGCTCATAGTGGGCGACACGCGATGCTGCTGCCCGTCTTGCTGTGCGTCGCCACTTACCGACCACTGAGCGTGCACACTTTAGCCAGTACAAGAGTGCTCAGACCTTGTACGACGCTGTAGTTGCACGCTACTCTTCCCCTGCCACCGCTGCACTGAGCCGCCTCATGCTACCGTACCTCTTCCCTGACCCTGCAACCTTTCCCACAATCGCTGACCTCATTATGCACCTCCGCACTAGTGACACTCGCTACCGCGCTGCGCTTCCTGCTGAGTTCTGCGCCAAGAACCCCCCCCCCCCATGTACATCACCCTCTACTACCTAGTCACCCGGCTCCCTGACTCTCTCCGCGTAGTCACGGACCACTTCCTCTCAGTTTGCCCCACCACTCTCACCGTTGACCTCCTCGAGAAGGGCCTCCTAGCAGTAGAGAAGAGCATAGTCGCTGTAGGAGCCTCTCGTGGTGACCCTCGCACCCTCGTTTTTGAGGGGTGTTCCCCTTCCCCCCTCTTGCCCTCTGTTGCTTCTGCTGTTGTTAGCGACCTCTTTGGTTTCTACGGGGTCGGCACTGCGTCTGCCCCTAGCGGGAGACGCCGCACCGGCAAGGGCAAGGGGGGCAAGGGCGCTGGGAGGGCTAGCGGGGGAGGTGGAGGAAGTGGTGGAGGCAGTGGAGGGAGTGGGGGTGGTGGTGGGAGTGGTGGCGGGGGTGGCGGCGGCGGCGGCAGTAGTGGAGGCGGAGGAGGCGGCGGTGGTGGCGGAGGGAGCGGAGGCGGCGGAGGTGGCGGAGGAGGCGGAGGTGGAGGAGGTGGCGGAGGCGGCGGCGGCGGCGGTGGTGGAGCGGGTCGCGACTCTGCGCAGAGGAGTGGGTCAGGTGGTGGTCTGCGCCAGCAGCAGTAGCGTGGTGTGACCCTGTCCCCTCAGCAGCTTCGTGAGTGGTACGCTGCGCGTCAGCGCGGTGGGGGTACTGGTCCTTGCACTTACGTCCTCCGTACCGGCGACCGAGCTGGTGAGCAGTGCGGGGGCCCGCACTCCACCCAACGCTGCTTCGGCCGCCAGACGGACGCGTGGCGTCACCAGTTCCCCGAGGCGTCAGAGATCCATCGCTGGGGAGATCTGTCTAGGGCGGGGGTTGCCATCTTTGATCTTGACTATGATGCTTTCCTTGCTGCCATGTATTTTGTTACTACTAGTGTTGAGGGTGACTATTACCTGTGTGTACCGCCTGACCCGGGCATTGAGGCCACTGCTCTAGGTGCTGGTGAGGCTGCTGCTCTAGGTGCTAGTGCGTCTGCTGCCCCAGGTGCTAGTGCGTCTGCTGCCCCAGGTGCTGGTGAGTCTGCTCTCTCAGGTACTACGTCGGCTCATGCCTTACACACCTTCACCATTGACTCGGGTGCGTCCCGCTCCCTCTTTCGAGACCGCACCACTCTTACGCCGCTCAGTCGGCCGGTTGCAGTCTCCCTGGCGGACCCCTCTGGGGGTCCTGTCCTTGCTAGCATCTCCATTGTCTTACCGTGCCCGGCAGCCCCCTCTGGCACCCTGTCAGGTCTCTACCTCCCCTCGTTCTCTACGAACTTGGTGAGTGGAGCGGACCTACCGGATAGGGGGGTTGACCAGTTCACTCCTGCGAGTCAGCGGGTGACCCACTGCACGTGTGCTCGGACATGCCGACACTTGGCCACGTTCACCCGTTGGCCAGGATCGAGCCTGTGCACCCTTACTAATGAGTCTACTCCGGCTGCTGAGTCTGGCCAGGTAGCTCCATCAAGTCAGGTGTTTGCTGCAGCGTCCAGGTTGTTATAGTTAAGAGTCCACTTAGAGGTCGCGGATGCCCATGAAACCACCTAAGCAGAATCTGACGTCTTCAAACCGCCTCTGTTCAAAACGCCGTCACGATCAGCTCCGATACCACATGAGGCTGAAACTTGGACAGCAGTTAGCCTTAAGTGTCTGCTTTCCAACGTTGTATTGCTTGCTTTCACCAGAGGTGTATGCGCTACGCTGTGAATGAAAACGTAAGCTCGGCTGAAAAACGTGTATACTCGTTGATGCAAGGAAGAGGTGAGTACAACATTGCCTAGGGGACTCATAAGGGGTTAGGTCATCCTGGGAACTCAGAGAAGGTTGAGTCCTAGGGGAGAAAAACTTGAGAAAGATGGGAAACGTCCTAGCTAGGTCAGCAAAAGCCAACCACACATGGATGTTCAGAGCTGTACTCAAGGCAACCAATTGTGAGTTAAGCCAACCATGAGTCAGCTTGTCTTCCCACTTGCACCCTCTTGCAAGCTGGTTCCAGGAAGACCACACTTCTCAAAAGGGGGGCAATAGAGCCCCACTTGACCACCTGTACTTCTTGTCTCATTCTCTGTCCCTGCACCATTGGCATGACAACAATGAAAGGGTGGCAAGGGAAATGCTGCCAACAGTGCACCATGACTACGGAACAGTGCATTTCGGCAGCTGTCATGCAATGCTCACATGTTGGATCGTTCTGAACCTTGGTGAACATCTGCACAACGGGGCAAAGAACTGCCAGACCGAATTTCAGACCAATCAAAGCTTGGTAGACGAGTCAGCAGCCGAAATGGTGAACTCGGGTGTTACAAAAAAGGAGTAACACACACTTCCGGGATGCCATAAGTCTTGAAACATAAAATGTTGTCATGCCTTGGTAATGGCTTCAAAAACTCTGAAACTTTGACGGTTTGAAGAACACATGTTGAAAATCTTCCCCACAAAATTCCAGAATCTGAGCAGGCTTGTAGGCCGAATGGGAGTGCGATGACCGTGCCACTGTAATGTGTTGGCACAACACAGGTCTGGTCCTGAGTCTGCTCTCTGCTCGTGTCGTTTCCTGTCCCACCAGACTCTCCTCTGGCACCACCGCCTTGGTCACCCCTCCCTGCCTCGTCTCCGAGGCATGGCCTCCCGTGTCCTTGTCTCTGGTCTCCCTCGGTCTCTCCCTCCGCTACCTCCGGGGCCTGGCCCTACCTGCGTCCCCTACGTCGAGGGGCGACAGCGCGCCGCCCCACACCTCCGAGTTTCCTCCGACAGAGGCTCCGCTACAGACCCTCCACATGGACGTGTGGGGCCCCGCCCGTGTCCGTGGGCAGGGGCACGAGCGTTACTTCCTATTGGTGGTTGACGGCTACTCGCATTACAAGGGTGACGTCACTGAGGTGTTGATCGCCTCGATCCGCGCAGCTCGTCTCCAGCTCAGAGGAGTTTCGGCTCAGACTTTCCTGTTCTGCGTCTGCACTCGGACAGAGGCGGGGAGTTTTCCTCTGCCCGTCTGGAAGCCTTCTGTCGTGCACACGGCATCCGCCAGACCTTCACGCTTCCGGCCTCTCCACAGCAAAATGGGATTGCTGAGCGCCGCACTGGCATGGTCATGGACGTCGCTCGTACATCCATGATCCATGTGGCTGCTCCCCATTTTCTGTGGCCGTTTGCGGTTCAGTACGCAGCGCATGAGATCAACCTTCAGCCCCGGGTCTCCTTGCCAGAGACCTCCCGCACCTTGCGGTGGACGGAGAAGGTTGGCGATGCGTCTGCATTTTCGGTCTGGGGATCTCGGGCGTTTGTCCGCGACTTGTCTGCGGACAAGCTGCCCCCCCGTGCTGTTCCCTGCGTCTTCCTTGGCTTCCCCCCTGACGCGCCTGGGTGGCAGTTTTACCACCCCACCTCGCGCCGTGTTCTGTCCTCCCAGGACGTCACCTTTGACGAGTCGGTACCTTACTACCGTCTCTTCCCCTACCGCACTGCGCCCCTCCCCCCGCCGCCGCTCTTCCTTGCGCCAGGTCCTCCCCCGGTAGACCCCCTCCCCCCTCACATGCTGCTCGCACTGGTCGCCGTGTTCCGCGTGAGCATCCTCCACCTGTCCCTAGCACACACTATATGACTCTGCATCCTTCCACTGCTCCACATCGTGTCCCTCTGCCGTCTCTTCCTGCGTCCTCTCTTCCTACTCTTGCTGACCCGGAGTCTGACTCTCTTCGTGCTGCCAGTCCTACTGTCACGCGTCTCCTGGCCACTGCTGTCACTGACCCTTCCTTTGAGTCTGGTGCTGCATCTGCCCTAATTGCTGAGCTTGTCGACTTTGCTGCTCGCTGTCGTCTAGACTACGCCGCGAGTCTTGTTGCTGAGTCTGAGTCTGTCTGTCCTCCGTCCGTCAGGGGTGAGTGTGCTCTAGGCACAGACGTCCTTGAGGATAGACAAGAGGACCTTGAGTGTCTTGCAGCCGATGCGCCTCATCTCGTGTCCATGCTGCTTGCCCCTGAGGGAGACCCGGATGCTCTAGACATCCCGACCCCGCGCTCTTACGCTGAGGCGATCGCGGGTGAGTACTCATCACAGTGGCTTTCAGCCATGGACGCACAGATGGCATCGTGGAAGTCCACAAGCACTGACAACGACGAGGTTCCCCCTCCTGGGGCGAACATCGTCAATGGCATGTGGATTTTCAGGGTGAAGCGGCCGCCGGGTTCTCCGCCTGTCTTCAAGGCTCGTTACGTTGCTCGAGGCTTCAGTTAGCGAGAGGGAGTAGACTTCTTTCAGAGTTTCTCCCCCACCTCGATGATGACCACTGTTTGGGTGCTACTGCACGTTGCTGCTCAGCGTGACTACGAGCTTCACTCTCTTGACTTCAGCATAGCTTTCTTGCAGGGCAGCCTGCATGAGGAGATCTGGCTGCGCCGCCCTCCTGGCTTCACTGGGTCGTTTCCTCCTGGTACCCAGTGGAGCCTCCGGCGGCCGGTCTACGGTCTTCGCCAGGCGCCACGTGAGTGGCACGACACACTGAGGAGTACTCTTGCGGCACTTGGGTTCGCGCCTTCTACTGCTAACCCGTCGCTGTTTCTGCACACCGACACTTCGTTGCCGCCGTTCTACATCCTCGTGTACGTCGACGAATTGGTCTTTGCCACTGCAGACACTGAGGCTCTTCCCCATGTGAAGTCGGAGCTGCAAAAGAGACACACGTGCATAGACCTGGGTGAACTGCGCAGCTACCTTGGCTTGGAGATCACCCGAGACAGAGCACGCCGCACCATCACACTGGCTGAGTCACACATGGTGCAGCAGGTCCTTCAGCACTTCGGCTTCACCTGGTCCTCAGCATAGGCCACTTCTCTGGCTACAGGTCACTCGCTCTCAGCTCTGCCTTCGGATGAGTCCGTAGAGCCGAGTGGTCCTTACCCAGAGCTAGTTGGCTGCCTCATGTACCTGATGGCTTGCACTCTTCGTGACCTAACGTTCCCTCTTAGCCTTCTGACCCGCTACGTGGCTCCTAGTAGGCACCGAAAGGTGCACTGGGATGCTGCAAAGAGGGTATTGCGCTACTTGTGCAGTACATCAGGCATGGGGCTCGTACTTGGAGGGGGGAGCTCAGCTGTTCTCACTGGGCACTCGGACGTTTCTTGGGTTGACGACCAGGCTACTCAGCGGTCGTCACAGGGTTACACCTTCAGCCTTGGCTCTGGCTCAGTTTCGTGGCGTTGTACGCGTTCATCTTCAGTTCTTAGCTCCAGTTGTGAGGCTGAGATCTAGGCCATAGCCATGGCTGCACAAGAGTTACGCTAGCTCACCTACATGTTGACCGACCTGGGAGAGCGGCCTCGTTCTCCTCCAGTGCTGTATGTCGACAACAAGGCTACCATTGCCTTGTGTTAGGAGCACAGACTGGAGCACAGAATGAAGCACATCGCCCTATGTTACTTTCTCGCTCAAGAGTTGCAGCAGCGTGGTCAGCTTCGTCTGCGTTACGTGGCCACTCAGGCCAACATTGCTGATATATTCACCAAGGCGCTTCAGTCTGGTGATCATCAGCGCTTCTGCACTTTGCTAGGGCTTGTGCCCACTTTTCCTCACTTGTTGTAGACTCTGCCTGTACTGTGATCTATATATATATACCTGCATGCTTGCTCTGCTAGGTATAGATCACTGTGAAGCTTGTGTTACATGTATGCTTCTTGCTTGTGCTCAGAGTGTGTGGTGACTTTGTGATCCACCCTGAGCTTGCTTTGTCATTCTTGACTGGTCTTGTGACCTCTTGTTCTCCCCCACTTAGCCTATGGGGGTGTGTCAAACATTGTATATGTTTCTGTTTTGTAGGCTACAGTGGGTTAGCCTTTAGGGTGTACATTTCTCTAGGGTTTCATACTTGTACTCCCAAATGTTCCTAGTTGACCACTTCTTGATTCTGACACCATTTTCCTCTCCTCTTAGTTTATCAATGCGCTTATAGATTTGACTCAGTTATAAGCGCACCCCCCTAAAAAATACTATTTGATGATAAGCGCAGGTGCGCTTATATCCGGGGTAATCTAGTAATAGGCGGAGGCCATGTGGGCGAGGATCTCGCAGTAAACGAGGCTCGGAATTGTGGAGAAATTTGTGAAGGCGACTTGTAAGTGCTTCAGTCCAAGCGTCTAGGCCGAACCAGATGAAGCGAGCACTTCGGAACATTCTCGCTAAAGTAAACCTAGAGCAACAAAATTTACGACCTTGCACACTACCTCATCTACATGAACCAGGTTTTAGGTAGAATTCATAAAGAAACCAAATGGAAATTTTTATATATGTCATAAGGCCACTTGCCCAATTCAATTATTACAGATAATCATTCATGCGAATCTAGAAATTGCAGTACAATTACCTAATAATAATTAGGTGATCACACAACCCACACTGCCTGCCACCATTAAGTTGTTTGAAATCCGCCCCCGCTTCAGGACTCTACATTTGACTGCAGTATGTCTTGCCTGTAACCTGGCTCTCTTGACCCTGCTCCAGCAAGCTTCCTT